AATGAGTGATACCAGAGGGAGCCAGGCGGAACTTACAATGTCTTTTATGACCTAGCTTTGGAAGTCATACACCGTTTTTTTTTTTTTAGTTTTAATTTTATTTAAGTAATCTCTACACCCAATATGGGGCTCACAACCCCGAGATTAAGAGTCACATGCTGTACCGACTGAGCCAGCCAGAAGTACCCACACACCATCATTTCTACATCATCTTTTTGGTTATTAAGGTTATTAAGCCCTATGCCATGTGACGGGACCACACAAGGGCCTCAGAACCAGGAAGGAAGGAAGGATCACTGGGGTTCATCTCAGAGGCTGGCTGCCACTCTCTGCCCTCTGTCTCCTACCAAATCATGTCTTCCCATAATGCAGAATGGACTTAACTCCTCCCAAAGCCCTTTAGCGATCAGGCTAAATTCCAGAATCTTGTCATCTAAAAGCAGGTCCAGGTATGGATTTACACTCCTCAGGTGAGATTTTTTGAGTATAGCTCTTTGTTTTTTGGGTTTTTTGTTTTGGTTTTTGTTTGTTTGACTATAGCTCTTTGAGTACAGTTACTTCCCCCCCAACCCCGGATCAGTAGAAAATGGTGAAACAGGCATAGCATAACTTGTAGACAGCCTCCTTAGAAAGGGGGAAATAGAAGGCACATAGGAGTCAATGGCCCTTAATTCAGCAGGGCACATCCTGGCAGTTTCTTGATTACAATGTAAGGCCTACGAATAATATTTCATGGCTTTTGGCTTGGCTCTCTGAACCAAGCTAAATTATAATTTTATCTATTTTTATTTATTTTATTTTAAGTAAACTGTACCCGCAACACGGGGCTTGATATCAAAACCCCAAATTCAAGAGTTGACTGCTTGGGGCGCCTGGGTGGTTCAGTCGGTTAAGCATCCAACTCTTGATTTCGGCTCAAATGTCAGGGTCATGAGATCTAGCCCCAAATTGGGCTCCATGCACAGCGGGGTGTCTGCTTGAGATTCTTTACCTTTGCCCCTCCCGCCCTCACTCACATTCTCTCTAAAAATAAATACCTCCTGGGGCGCCTGGGTGGCTCAGTTGGTTGAGCGACTGCCTTCGGCTCAGGTCATGATCCTGGAGTCCCGGGATCAAGTCCCGCATCGGGCTCCCTGCTCAGCGGGGAGTCTGCTTCTCCCTCTGACCCTCCCCCCTCTCATGCTCTCTCTCTCTCTCATTCTCTCTCTCAAATAAATAAAATCTTTAAAAAAAAATAAAAAAATAAAAGTAAATACCTCTTTTTAAAAGGAAGGGAGGGAGGGAAAGAAAGGAAGAGAAAGAAAAGAAAAAGATGGGGCACCTGGGTGGCTCAGTCACTGGGTGTCTGCCTTCGGCTCAGGTCATGATCCTGGGGTCCTGGGATCGAGCCCCGCATCGGGCTCCCTGCTCCACGGGAAGCCTGCTTCTCCCTCTCCCACACCGCCTGCTTGTGTTCCCTCTCTCACTGTGTCTCTCTCTGTCAAATAAATAAAATCTTTAAAAAAAAGAAAAGAAAAAAAAACCTCTCCTAAAGCTATCTGTCCTGCTTCAATCGAGACTTTTTGCCCTCAACAACCAGAGGACACTTGTCACCCTGGATATTCTCTTTGTCTGTCTCCTGGGTTGGATATTCTGCTGTGAAGGGTTAGGCAAAGCCCCAGTGATCTGGGGAAAGAGGAGGGGAGGGGTCATGGTTTTTTTGGGTTTTACTAGATCTCTGGTTTACCTTATCCATAACTCTGCCTTGTGCTCTCCAGACCAGAGACCCTCAATCGTATCCTCTCCAGAAAGTAAACCTTAAGTTTTATGCTGGGGTAGGGAAGAGGCAGTCATCATGCTAAATAGACAAGTTTAGCAACATTCCTTAATCAGGAGTCAAACATAGATGGTTCTCTACGTGATAGCAAAGCTAGTTTAGGAGCCAGTGACTTAGTGTTTCATGTATTCCCTTAAAGAATGCTGCATCACCAATGCTGTGTGGAGACAGAGGACAATAATGTGTGAAAAAACATTGGCATCATTAACGCTGAGTCAAAAAGTGAGAAAGTCACTGTGAAAACACTTTAGGAAATCCTTAACCAATTAATTTTGTTACATGTAATTTTTTATGGATGCTCGAGAATATGATTTTTAAAAATCTAAAACTAATTTACTCTAAAAGAACTCTTTCAATAAGTATAAAATTTAATGATCTAAATGAATCATTTAATTGACATAATTTGACAACATTTTTTTCTCTTATCATCAATGGTGTCTTAGATGGAAGGAAATACAACATTGTGGATTTATTATATCCCTTTTTTGTTACATGGGTTGCAAATATTTTTCTCCATCATTTTTGTCTTTTGTATCGTATTTTTCACCATATGGAGGTTTTCCATTTTTATGTGAGCCGTATATCTTTCTATTTTATAGATTCTGAGCCTTGCCTCAGATATAAAATATTCTTTAGTATTCCCCAGTATCTTTATAGTTTTATGTTTAATATTTAAGTTTTAACCCATCTGGGGCTTATTTTTATTTCTGATAATGCCTTTTTCGTTACTTCTCTTCCCATTTTAAGTTTTATTTGCTTAACTTTTCCCTTTTCATTTTTTATACGTTAGTTTTTCAAGGGCCTAACTTTGGAAGGCTTCATTTCTTTTTTCTTTTTGAAACTTTTATTTGTTTATTTTTGAAACTTTTACAAAATGTTGATTACCTTTTATTTCTAGGTAATATAGAGTGATGAATTATCTAACAAATATAGCTTTTAGGGGGGCCTGGGGACTCAGTCTGTTAAGTGTTCCTGCTGAGCAGGACCCTACTTCTTCCTCTCTCTCTACCACTCCTCCTGCTTGTGCTCTCTCTCTCTCAAATAAATAAATAAATAAATAAAATCTTAAAAAAAAAAAAAACTGGCTTGTGATAATGGTTGCATAACTTTGCAAATTTACTAAAAACATCACCAAATTATACTCTTATCATAGGTGAAGCATATAGTATATAAATCACACCTCAGTAAAGATATTTAAAAATTTATGACCTACTGTAACAGCTGTATTTGTTTGTTTTTCAAGATTCCATCTATTTGGCAGAGAGAGAGCACAAGCAGGGGGATCAGCAGGCAGAGAGAGAGGGAGAAGCAGGCTCCCTGCTGAGCAGGGAGCCCGATGCAGGGCTCAATCCCAGGACCCTGGGATCATGACCTGAGCCGAAGGCAGACACTTAATGACTGAGCCACCCAGGCACCCCCAGTCTCTTGATTATATACCTATAAGAGGCATTGCTGGGTTAAAGGATAAGTCTGTGTTTTGTAAAATTGCTATACTTTGTCCAAAGTGGCTGCACCATTTTACATTCCCACAAACAGTTTAAGAGGGTTTCAGTTTTTCCACATCCTTGCCAACATCTGACATTGTTAGTCGTTTTGATTATAGCCATTCTAATAGGTGTTAAGTAGTGTCTCCTTGTGGTTTCAGTTTGCATTTTCCTAATGACTGTGATGTTGAGCATCTTTTCATGTGCTTGCTAGATTTGTTTATCTTCTTCGGTGAAATTTCTGTTCAAACATCTTTCTGATTTTTAAATTGGCTTGTCTTATTATTGAGTTCAGCATGCCAAAATTTTTGGTTTCTTGTTTCTATTTTTGTTGAAAATCAATCTGTTGCTGTGTGCTGAATTTTATCCCTATCCTATGTATACTTTAAGAGTATTTTCTTTTTTTTAAATTTAAATTCAATTAGCCAACACATAGTACATCATTAGTTACAGATGTAGTGTTCAACAACTCATCAGTTGCGTATAACACCCAGTGCTCATCATATCACGGGCCCTCCTTAATGTCCATTGTTCACCCAGTTGCCCCATTCCCTCACCTGCCTCCCTCCAGCAACTCTGTTTGTTTCCCATAGTTAAGAGTCTCTCATGGTTTGTCTCCCTCTCTGATTTCTTCCCATTCAGTTTTCCCTCCTTTCCCTTACGATCCTCTGCGCTATTCCTTATATTCCACATATGAGTGAAACCATAAGATACTTGTCTTTCTCTGCTTGACTTATTTCACTCAGCATAATACCCTCCAGTTCCATGCATGACAATGTAAATGGTAAGTACTCATCCTTTCTGATAGCTGAGTAATATTCCATTGTATATATTAAGAGTATTTTCTTGGGGCACCTGGGTGGCTCAGTCGTTAAGCATCTGCCTTCAGCTCAGGTCATGCATGATCCCAGGGTCCTGGGATCGAGCCCCGCATCAGGCTCCCTGCTCAGCGGGAAGCCTGCTTCTCCCTCTCCCACTCCCCCTGCTTGTGTTCCCTCTCTCACTGTGTCTCTCTCTGTCAAATAAATAAATAAAATCTTTAAAAAAAAAGTATTTTCTTAATATTTCTACATGACTGGTCAGTTTTCAATCCTATTTTTGTTTTGTGTTTCTACATCCCTTAACATTTTTGTATGTATTCTGTTTGTTCTCACGGGTGTATAGAGTAAGGTTCACCCTTTTTAGGTGTATGGTTCCATGAATTTGGACAAACCTCTATAATGTGTAACCTCCACCACAATTGAGATAGAGTGTTTCCATCATCCTAAAAAGTTCCTTCATACTTTGTAGGCACTCTCTGCCCCCCACTCCAGCCCCTAGCAACTACTGATCTGAATTTCATTCCTATGGTTTTGCCTTTTCCAGAATGTTCTATAAATGGAATCCTACAGTATGTAATTTTTTGAGTCAAGCTTGTTTCACTTAGCATAATGCTTTTGAGATTTATCCCTGTTGTTTGTTATGTGTATCAGTAGTTTCTTTTTACTGGTGAGGAGAAACCCATTGTATGCATATACCACCATCCTTTGAGTAGTTTGAATCACTTTAGGTCAACCAGATAAGAATTTTTAAACATTTAGTAGAAAAAGCAACTTTTACTTATCAAATAAAAATTTATGTAAAATATACATACCGTAATATGTTTTTCTCTTCTTGCTCAGAGCTATTTTTAAAATCTCTTGCTTCTTTTCCTTTGGTAGGTATTGATTGGCAGGTACGGCCTCCTTTATCAGGACTTCCTACTCTGGGTAAAGCATCTCTCAACAGGGGGCTTCATTTTAACATGTCCATTGCCAACTTGGTCATCCTTCGTGGGAAAGATGTGCACAGTGCGGATCTGGGTAAGCAGAAGTTAAGGTGAAATTAATATGTACATTTTGCACATCTACATGGTAACACATTTTTTGTTTTTGAAAGGGAAGTCCCTGAATTTATTTTTAAAGAAAGGAAAATCGGGCGCCTGGGTGGCTCAGTCAGTTAAGCGACGGCCTTCGGCTCAGGTCATGATCCTGGAGTCCCTGGATCGAGTCCTGCATCAGGCTCCCTGCTCGGCGGGGAGTCTGCTTCTCCCTCTGACCCTCCCCCCTCTCATGTGCTCTCTCTCTCATATTCTCTCTCTCAAATAAATAAAATCTTAAAAAAAAAAAAATTTAAAGAAAGGAAAATCATAATTTTGTGTTTTAGTAGCAAAATGTAACCATTGTATCAGTTAGTTAGTATGTGACCAGACACCAAAAATAGAAGTGACTGAAACAAGGTACAGGTTTAATTCTTTCTTCTGAACCTTGCTGTTCTTATTGTCCTCACCTTAGAGCTTCCCCCTCATAGTCTAAGACATCTGTTTGAGCTTCACCATCAAATCACATAGGAATGAGCATGCCGCCCGCCTCCTCCTAGGGTTGCACACCATACGAGTGTTTATATTACCTTTGATTGGGGCTGACTCCTGTGCTACCCCTAGCTGCAAGAGTGGCCATGAGCACAGTTAAAATGTGGGGGTTCTCTTACTAAAGAAGAAGGGGAGAATAGGTCATGTAGCATAACTAGTAGTCTCTGTGACAAGCATTTTGATATAAAACTTTCAGGAAGTTTGAAGAGCAGTAACCTGTCAGCTTTGTATTTTTATGGAAAATCTCTAAGTTTGTCTTATCTTTATTCGATGGTTTTATTTTTTTAGAGATCTATTTATTTTAGAGAGAGAGAGTGCATGCGTGAGCGGGGGGGGAGGGACAGAGGGAGGGAATCTCAAGCCGACTCTGCTGAACGCAGAGCCTGACAAGGGCCTTGATCCCACGACCCATGAGATCACGACCTGAGCCAAAACCAAGTCGGATGCCCAACCAACTGAGCCACCCACGTACTCCTTATTTGATAATTTTAGCAGTATCAAATTGGCTGCTTCTAGCTGTGATATAAAGAAAACCAGTCCCACATTGGGCTCCTTGCTCAGCAGGGAGCCTGCTTCTCCCTCTGCCTTCTGACCCCCCTGCTTGTGCTCTCTCTCTCTTTCTCTCTCTCTCTGACAAATAAATAAAATCTTGAAAGAAAGAAAGAAAGAAAGAAAGAAAGAAAGAAAGAAAGAAAGAAAGAAAGAAAGAAAAGAGAAAGAGAAAACCAAATAATCTAGTTCCTATAATACACCTTTGATAAGAAAGTGGTAATTAAAAGGGATCATTTCAAGTCTGTCAAATGGTATACTTTCTCCCACCTCAGAACATTTTCTTCATATTCTTCATTTTAGATTTTAAATTAAGAGAATTAATAAGAGGATATATAAAGTAATCAAACTTCCAAAAATGTATCCACAGCAAATGACATACATACAAAGAGGTGTTCTTGCAAAGATATTCACTACAATATCTTTCACACAAAAATGCAGAAACAACCTAAATGCTCAACAGTAGGAAATGTGTTAAATTACGGTATTCTCATATAATAAAACTTTATGAGTGATATTTATTGACATGGAAAAGAGGTGAATGAAAACATTACGGAACAGCGTTTTTGTAAAATTACAGACACAAGAAGGTCAGCAAAATGTTCATGGTCTTCTCTGGGTGGTAACATTTCAGATGTTAGTTGACTTTTAAATTTTTGTTTGTTTGTTTGTTTCAAGTTTTTATTTAAATTCCAGTTAGTTGGGGCGCCTGGGTGGCTCAGTCGTTAAGCGTCTGGCTTCGGCTCAGGTCATGATCCCAGGGTCCTGGGATCGAGCCCCGCATCGGGCTCCCTGCTCCACGGGAAGCCTGCTTCTCCCTCTCCCACTCCCCCTGCTTGTGTTCCCTCTCTCACTGTGTCTCTCTGTCAAATAAATAAATAAAATCTTTAAAAAATAAATAAATAAATTCCAGTTAGTTAACATAGAGTGCAATACTAGTTTCAGGTGTAGGATTTAGTGACTCATCAGTGACACACAGCACACAGTGTGCATCACGGGTGCCCTCCTTTACCCATCACCCTTTTAGCCCATCCCCCACCGACCTTCCCTCCAGCAACTGCCAGTTTGTTCTCTGTAGTTAAGAGTCTGTTTTATGGTTTGCCTCCCTCTCTTTTTTCCCCTATGTTTGTCCATTTTGTTTCTTAAATTCCACGTATGAGTAAAATCATATGGTATTTGTCTTTCTCTCACTGACTTATTTCATGTAGCATAATACACTCTAGCTCCATTCATGTTGTTGGAAATGACAAGATTTCATTCTGTTTTATGGCAGAGTAATATTCCATTGTATATGTATACCACAACTTTTTTTTTTAGCATTTTATTTCTTTATTTCAGAGAGTGAGAGAGTGAGAACACAAACTGGGGGAGGGATACAGGGAGAGGGAAAGAAATCCTCAAGCACACTCCCCACTGAGTGGGGAGCCTGATGCAAGGCTCAATCCCAGGACCCCAAGATCATGACCCAAGTAGAAATCAAGAGTCAGACACTCAACCAACTGAACCACCCAGGCACCCCTGTCTACCACAACTTCTTTATCCATTCACAGTCAATGGACATTTGGGCTCTTTCCATAATTTGGCTATTGTTGATAATGCTGCTATAAACATCGGGGTGCATGTGTCCCTCTGAATCAGTATTTTTGTATCCTTTGGGTAAATGCCTACTAGTGCAATTACTAGGTCCAAGGGTAGCTCTATTTTTAACTTTTTGAGGAACTTCCATACTGTTTTCCAAAGTGGCTGCACCAGTTTGCATTCCCACCAACAGTGTTAAGAGGGTTCCCCTTTCTCCACATCCTCACCAACACCTGTTATTTCCTGGGTTGTTAATTTTAGCCATTCTGACTGGTGTGAGGTGGTATCTCACTGTAGTTTTGATTTGTATTTCCCTGATGATGAGTGATGTTGAGCATTTTTCATGTGTCTGTTGGCCATCTGGATGTCTTCTTTGGAAAAATGTCTTCATATTCATGTCTTCTGCTCATTTCTTAACTGGATTATTTGTTTTTTGGGTGTTGAGTTTGATTAGTTCTTTATAGATTTTGGGTATCAACCCTTTATCAGATATGTTATTTGCAAACATCTCCCATTCTGAAGGTTGCCTTTTAGTTTCGTTGAATGTTTCCTTCGCTGTGCAGACTTTTTGTCTTGATAAAATCCCAATAATTCATTTTTGCTTTTGTGTCCCTTGCCTCCAGAGATGTATCTAGTAAGAAGTTGCTATGGCCAAGGTCAAAGAGGTTGTTGCCTGTGTTCTCCTCTAGGATTTTGATGGTTTCCTGTCCCCCATTTAGGTCTTTCATCCATTAAATTTTCTTCGTCATACTTTTCTGAATGGTGTGAATTATTTTTTTTACAATGAATATGGATCATCTATGCAAAAGCAATATAAAGCTAGTTTTAAAGATTTTTATTTATTTATTTTTGTGAGAGAGAGAGAGAAAGAGCATGCACGAGCAGGGGGAGGGGCAGAGGGAGATGCAGACTTCCCACTGAGTAGGGAGCCTCATGCGGGACTCATCCCAGGACCCTGGGATCATGACTTGAGATGAAATCAGACACTTAACCGACTGAGCCACCCAGGCGCCCATAAAGCTAGTTTTAAAAGGCAAAACAAAAGGAGACTTCTGGTGAAATGAATAAGAAAATATGTTTATTAATTTGTTTCCAAAATTAATGATTTATGATGTAAACAATGGCTTGTGTTGTTTTACTCTAGGAGGATTTAAAGATTCAGCCCTCTATACTTCTTGGTTAGAGCCTATTAATGCTTTCAATGTATGGAAAACCCAGCGAGCCTTTAGCAAATATGAGAAGTCTGCAGCATTGGTCAGCAATAGCCAGTTCTTACTAAAACCACTTGATATGATTGTGGGCAAAGCCTGGAATATGTTTGCTTCAAAGTAAGTAGAAAATAAATCTACAAACCTTTCTAACCTTAGGCAGATAATATCTTAAAACACAAGGCAGGACTTGGAATGTTTTAGTCTGTTTGGTTTGCTGTAACAAAAATAGTCCAGACTGGGTATCTTATAAACAAAATTTATTTCTCAGGAGTTCTGGAGACTAGGAAGTCCAAGGTGAAGGTGTCGGCAGATTTGATGTCTAATGTTGACCGACTTCCTGGTTCATAGGTGGTTTCTTTTCCTTGTGTCCTCAAATGGCCGAAGGGGCAAAGAACCTTTCATGGGCCCCTTTTAAAAGGGCACTGATCCCATTCATGAGGGCTCCACCCTTGTGACCGAATCTCGCCTCCTAATACCATCATCTTGGGGGTTAGGATTTCAATGTACCAATTTCGGGGGAACACAAACATTCAACCTGTAGCCTGGAGTAAGCATGGCTACCACTGTAGGTATGAAACTGGGTCATGTTACTTCAGGTGTTATTTTCTTATCTGCACGGTGGGTTTACACTGAGGATATGTGGTGAGGATTAAATGTGATAATCATGTAAAATTACCTACTACAGTGCTGTTATTGACTAGTCATTTCTAAATGAAATGAAATGAAAGTAGAAATTTCATTATAAGGCTGGGACAATAAAATAGTTTTCCAAAATAAGACCCTTGAAAGAATGGAAGAGATCCTGATCTTGTTCAGCAAGAAATATTGCAAGTTCAGCTCCATCTGCTAAGAAATGTGTTATCAGATTTCCTGACCTCGGCCACAATTACTTAATGTCAAAGGAAAATTCCCATATCAATGGGCAAGACCTCTACTGTGATTAGTCAGGATTCCCAAGGGCCCCCCATCCTGCACGTGGCCATTCCATAAGCTCCCACTCCCAGGACTGTGAACTCTGCCCTTTCCTGGTATTGTTCTCTTCCCTTTCCCATTAAATGGCAGCAGCCCTTATTACCTCAGTTTAATCCATGTCTGTCCTTGACATTCTTTTTAACATGATTTCTCCTGCCTCAGAACATTTTGAGGGTATGAGATATTCAAAGAACCACCTGGCATAAGTGCAAATTACCTGTTGTCTGAAAAATACTTGGGAGACTTCACTTCATTCCTAGAACTGGATTAATGTGTTTCTGCAGTTTCAAGGCTTAGGTAAAAATTCTCAGGCACTTTTTAGAGTTGATACTGAACCCAGTCATCTCTGTATGGTGTTGAATATGTGCTGGGTTCAATAACCAAATCTGAACATGCTGCTTTTTCCTATGTGCTTCTTATTGTCACTCTCTTGAACACTAAAAAGACAGGGAGCTTGACATAAACTTTCAGAGTTTGCTAATCTTTGGAATTAACATGAAGCAAATATAAGACATTTAAGAGATTCTGCCATCCTCAAATATTCATGAGCTAGGAAAGTCCTATTTATTGTTTGATTTTAAGAGTTACTCATTTGCCTGAGATTTTTTATTTTACATTTGCTGTTTCTTTCACCAGAGCCTACATTCATCAGTACACAAAATTTGGAATTGAAGAAGAGGACTTTTTGGACAGTTTCACATTGTTAGAACAGGTTGTTGCCAGTTACTGCAACCTCTGATCTCGAACAAAGGAAAAAAAGTACTTTAAGTCATTTTTGGGCTAAAATATTTTCAATAGTACTGTCTCTGTATGGTGTTCAGATCTCTACCTGTTAAACTAACAAAGTCAAATGCTGTTTCCTTTGGCATATTATGACCACAGAAAAGGAGGAAAACCTTTTAAACCGAGAACATCATGTTTTCAATGAAAACATCTACTTGGTATTTTCATTTGTAAGAAAGAAACTGGTGCTTCTATAAAAAAATTTGGAAACACTTTGCTGAAATGTTGGAACTCTGGAAGTATCCAAAAAAGGGAATATTCTGTTCTGTCCCCATGTTTCTAAGTCTTCCCTTTTTTTTTTTAAAGACTTTATTTATTTGAGAGAGAGCATGGGGGAGGGACAGAGGGAAAGGCAGGCATCCCACTGAGCAGGGAGCCTGATATGGGGGTTGATCTCGGGACTCCAGAAGTCTTCCCTTCTTTATTCCAAAAAGGATTCACTAAATACCAGCTAAACTTTTACAGCACAATTTGAAACAGAAATTGCGGTTATGCATTTAATTGAAGTGGATGCTTTGAACCACAAGAGGGAGCTATTGTCAAATGCTAGATTATGAACTTTTTTTTAAATATTTTCTTCTGTAACAGTAAGATTTTCCACTTTAAGCAGCTATTTAAAAATAAATATCAGATTTTGTTAATAAATGTATATCATGCTTAAGTACAAAAGTAAGGAAGTAAATGCTTTTCTTAAAATTTTCTAGGCATCAGAAAATTGGGTCAGTTTTTCTTTTAGATCTTGAAATGTAAGAGCAGAAAGTGACTTTATTCGACTAGTGCTTTCAGATTACTTATAGGTATTTAGCTAGCGTGAAAGATGTTATGCTTGTCAGTAAAAGGGGTAAGTTTTCACTAAAATTTCACGAAGTTGAGAAAATTACCACCAAGGAAATACCGTCCTTGATGAAATTGAACATACAGATGTGGGTTTCACTCAGAACAAAACACACTTGGAAATTGGCAGCTGAGTTTGAGGGTAATTGTGTATTTCAATAAAACATGTCACATGCAGTGTATTAACAAATGTCAAATGGGAAACAAATAGGAACATTTGCCCCTTCTGCCAAATCTACCAGTGGTGATTTATTTTTATATGGAAAAATGACAGTTCACAGCTTCACTGGTTTCTTCCTTTTCTTTCCATATGGAAATGATTACTTTTTTGCTGTTTTTCTTATCAACTGTTGCTATGATTTAAAATACTGAGCCATATCTTATTTCTAAGGAATGTAAAAAGTGGTCTGTTCAGCCACTAAGAGGCACACCCCTCTGCTGCATTTTGTTAACCCAAGTATACTTGAAAAATAATCAGATAATGATTTTTACAAAATAAAGTTAAAAGTAATGGTTTTACACTGAAGACATCCAAAGACTGAAACAACTTCCCAAACTGAACTAGCATTAATGAAGATCCGGAGCTTACCAGGAGTTAAGCTGATTCTGAGGAACCTGCTAGAAGTGAAGCTTAAAGAAAGTCATAAATCACTTTATATTTAAGAAAGGAATTCATGAGGTACCAATGGGGACAAGTTTATTTCTAATTTGGCAACTCATGGAATCAATGGCAAGTGAATATTTGAAGAAAGCCCCAGTTAGTTAGACACAGCTCTGGGTCCATTCACTTATATGAGTAGAGCCTTTTTTATGATCCACAACTGCATTATTTGATGTGTGTGAATACCTCAGTATTTACAGACTTGTTTTAAAACATTTAGATGAATTTTTTTTTTTCTATTTGGAGTAACATAAAATTTTTGCTGTTAGAGTTGTGATTTAACTTTAACACAAAGAAGGGGATGCCAAAGCTTCAAGATAGGGGGTGTAACTGGAACTGTACTTTGTGTAGAGAAAACGGCCGATGAGCCAGGGCAACATTAGGATCATAACTTCCTGGGCATACAGATCCAGAAGCTTTGAACTTGTAATATCTTAGATTACTGGATAACTGGAGTACTATGTTGTCACTCACATTTCTCCCACAGAGCCCACACGAACTCCCGGTAGGCAATAAGGAAGTGTAAATTCAAACTGCTTATTTTTAAGCCTCTTCACTCCTTCATTTGTGCTTTTGTCAAGAGTTCTTTAAGCTGTAGAACCTGTTTCTTCCCATTCATTCCCTCTTGCTTCCAGCTTTGCCCCTGCCAACAGGATCCAGTCAATCTGCAACATCTTTCTCCTTTATTTAACCTGTCACTTAGACCTTAGCCAACGTATCCACAATTCACTGTTCTTAGGTAATTCATTCATTCAACCAATATCTAGTCAGTGCCAGGCACTGATTTAGATTAAAGGGGTTAAGACCACATAGTCTAAATGAAGAAGCTTACAGTGTAGCTAAGTTTCTTTGAATGTCTTTTCTTTTTTTTTAAGATTTTATTTATTTGACAGAGAGAGACACAGTGAGAGAGGGAACACAAGCAGTGAGAGTGGAAGAGGGAGAAGCAGGCTTCCTGCAGAGCAGGGAGCCTGATGCAGGGCTCAATCCCAGGACCCTGGGATCATGACCTGAGCCAAAGGCAGACGCTCAACGACTGGGCCACCCAGGCGCCCCTTTCTTTGAATATCTTGATGCTCCAGTCCTAGCTTCCTAATTATTGCTTATTTTACCCATGTCCATGTTCCACTTTTTTACAGGGAAGATGTAATACAGGGAACAATGAGCTCGGAGCTCTAGTCTGGGCTTTACACTGGTCTGAAAGGCCTCCTCCCTGGCTCTGGAGACTATTCCGCAGGGTACATACCAATGATTCTTCTGACCGCCATGTTTATCACACTTGAATTCCTGTCCAAAATTTTGTTTTAAAACATGATCCATACGTTCCTATCACAGTATTCTCTCCCCATGAGCCCAGGTTTGGTAGTCAACCCTCTCTTGTTCTTCAACCTACCTACCAAATATGGATTTACTCACTAACTTGTCATTTTTGGCAAAAAATCAGTTATTTAAGAGATGTCTGCTCATCTTTATCAATCACACTGTTTCCTATGGGTTTTAGGGATGTGAGCTAAAAAATCTGGCTTTACGTATTTAACTAAATAACTTCCTACTCCTGTACTCTGAAATGTCTCAGATGATGCAATGTCAGTCTTATTAATAAATGGAATCCCACTTCCACTAGCCAGAATGCTTGCACAAGAATTTAAGATGAACAGGGGCGCCGGGGTGGCTCAGTTGTTAAGTGTCTGCCTTCAGCTCAGGTCATGATCCCGGGGTCCTGGGATCAAGCCCCGCATCGCATCTGGCTCCCTGCTCATTGGGAAGCCTGCTTTTCCCTCTCCCACTCCCCCTGCTTGTGTTCCCTCTCTCACTGTGTCTCTGTCAAATAAATAAATAAAATCTTTTTAAAAAAAAGAATTTAAGATAAACAGTGTAAATATTTCCAGTTTCTGGGCAACACAGTGTGGGGTCAGTGTTGTAGAAGTTATGGCATTTAAAGGAGAAGAGGGAAAAGATAGAAAATCCCAATCACTGAGATCCCAGGGAGCCAGTGACACAGGAAGAAATGAAAAGGAAGGTTAATGATGCCCGCCTCCTCCAGCCCCCAAGAGCTGCTTACAAGCAAAGAATCGCTTGTAAGACTTGATGGTTTCTGAATTATGGATTTTACCTAAAGATGAAAAATCTAATCGCTTACAAGAATAGCTTAAAAAGAAACAGGAAGCTAAATAACGTGTCACTTAGCAAATAATTCTCTTACCTGAATTTATCTCCTTTGCTAATGATGGAGCCGGTAAGATGAATACTTTCATGGCTTGTCTAATTATTTACATGGGGAGTACACAAAAATTCAAAGATTCTGTACCTGTGCTGTCTATTAGGTAGCCATTAGCCCCCACGCAGCTCATGCTGTAGGTATAAAATACACATTGGATCTTGAAGACAGTATGAATAAAAGAATGTACAATATAAATATTTTTAATTGTTGAAATGATATTGTGGACGTATTTAGATTATTTGAATTGGTATTTTTTGTTTCTTTTTACATTTTTTTAAAGATTTTATTTATCCAGGGGCACCTGGGTGGCTCAGTCGTTAAGCGTCTGCCTTCGGCTCAGGTCATGATCCCAGGGTCCTGGGATCGAGCCCCATGTAGGGCTCCCTGCTCCCCGGGAAGCCTGCTTCTCTCTCTCCCACTCCCACTGCTTGTGTTCCCTCTCTCGCTGTGTCTCTCTCTGTCGAAAAAATAAAATCTTTTAAAAAAATTTTTATTTATCCATTTGACAGGGAACGAGCACAAGCGGGGGAGCATCAGGCAGAGAGAGAGGGAGAAGCAGGCTCCCCGCTGAGCAGGGAGCCCAGGACCAGTCGCCTAAGGACTGAGCCACCCAGGTGCCCCTCTTTTTACATTTTAAAATGTAGCTACTAAAGTTTTAAAATTAGATATATGGCTTGAATTATATATATATATATTTTTAAGATTTTACTTATTTGACAGAGACAGCGAGAGAGGGAACACAAGTAGAGGGAGTGGGGGAGGGAGAAGCAGGCTTCCCGCCGAGCAGGGAGCCCAGTGTGGGGCTTGATCCCAGGACCCTGGGATCATGACCTAAGCCGAAGGCAGACACTCAACAACTGAGCCACCCAGGCGCCCGAATTATATTTCTATTGGACAGGGATATTCTAGACATTTCAGGAGCAAAGGCCTGGGAACTATAGAAAAGGGAGCTGAACAAAGTTTGTCCTTATAAGGTGAGAGGTCATGGGAACATGATAGTAAGAAACATGACATAAGGCAAAAGATGGGAGTTTCCTTTTTGGAAAAAAAAAAAAAACTTTGCTTAAGTTCGGCTCATGTGAACGGTATGAAAAAGGCAGGATGTGAGCTTAACTCAACAAACATCCATTAACTACCTGCAAGGAAAGCGCTAGGAGAGGCAGATTTTAAAAATGAGTTAAACCTGGCCTCTGTCCTTAAGGGGTTTACCATTGATATATCCTTTGCTGCAAAGCATATGCCTGGCTCATAGTAGAGATTATAGATTAATACAAATGTCTAAAAAACTATGGAAGAGACGAAAAGCTGCAAAACTAGAGGCACAAAGTAAAGT